CAGGGTGTTTAACCTAAGGAAATGGTAGTGGAACAAAGAAGGACCAAGGGCATCAGTAGACCACATAAAGGAGGGGCTGCTACAGACACTCATTGGATTAGGGGATGTTCTGGCCAATCCTCATTTCAGAAATCCTTAACTGATCGTTAGCACATGTCCATGGCATCAGGCACAGGTGTGAGTGGGTGCCAGGTTCCCCCAGGGTGCTAAGAGACCACATTAAACAACAGGATCTTCAGGGGAGATAAGCACCTACTTCCAAACCTCACCTACATACATTTACAAACACATTTACATTTGCTGTAAATCTCCATACATTTGCAAACACATTTACATTTGCTGTAAATCTGCTCTTTACATTCTTTCCAAAGAGAATCCATCTAGAAACAAATCAGTGAGAGTATGTGTATCCATTTCTGGGGCAGAGGGGAAGGTTGAAGAAATAAAAGCCATAATTTAAGACTGCTGTGAGATTGGGTTGGGGTTTTGGAATACAAATTGTTTAACTTGCATAGAGTGTGTACCTAGATGTATGTGTCTGGTTTGTCACTGCAGAGAAACGAACATGCCAAAAACTCAGGTCACAAGCCCAGCTGCACTCAGGCCCCTCAGACACTCACCGGCCGTAGGAACAGGCCACAACAGAGCCAGTTGTGTTCCAGGAGAGGCTGGTAACCTGCAGCTGCTGCTCCTGAGCCTTAGGGTATGCCAGCGTGTGCAAACACAGCACCTGCAGGACAGCAAACCCAAGCACTGAGGCAATCCCTCCTCCACACAGAGAAATGAGACCTGTGCCTGCCCCTGCACTCGAGGGGATGGTTCCAGCACCGGCCGCCCCTCTGTTCGAGTGGACACCTGAAGGAGTTGTTGAATTCCTACTGGGAAAAAAACCCACAACACTTGGCCCAAACCCAACAGTCGCCTCACCGTTACCTCTCAGAGCCCACCCCCCTCAGGGGCTGCACAGCATCTCTGGAAGGCTGGGCTGTAGGGATCTACAGCAGCCCCCAGCCCAGAGCCTCGCCCTCGTCAAGCTTCACCAGCAAGGGGCTGAAAACAACAGCACCAAGGCCAACTGACTGACAAAAATTGCTTCTACCCTTGAGCATGGTACTCTAAAATATAATCTAAGCAGGAAGAGCTGCCAAATCACCGGCTGCAGCCGTTCCTAGACAGCTGCTAGGCTGGCAGGCTCTGCTGGGCCTACTGGAAGCCAGGGAGAGAGCTGGATTAAAAAAAAACCAAACAAACTGGTAATGTCTAATTGTTAGAACCTGGCAAGAACAATCACAGCAACAAAAAATAGAACGAGTGAGTTAGAGCCACTGTAACCACGTCTGCTTGGAGCATAACTCTGCCAACTTACTGTTTCATTCTGATCTGTCCAGTTGACCTCAAAGCCATCAAAGGCACGGCTCTGCCAGTTCTTATTGAGCTCTTTGATAACAGCCTCCTCCACTCTCTGAAGGAACGATAGAAGGCTGCTGTTATCTACTTGGACATCTTGCTGGAAGTCTTGGACAGTGTCTGCACTTTGATCCACCTGCACAGCAGCATCTCGGCTAGTACAACACTGTACTGCAGCTTCTGCTGTTGAAATTTTCCCAGTCTGGCAGCTTTTCTAATAAAAGAAGACAGAAAATCTTTAATCCAAAGAGACAAAAAAGAGTGCTGCACAAACCATGCAAAACACCTTCCCATTTTTGGCACTTGGTAGAGACACTCAAGCGCATTTGCACACCTCTGACTCACAGATAAAAGCAGGTGCCCCCACGACTGTCCGGGGGTCAGTGATCTGTGAGCACCACACAAGGTGACATGTGGCAGACACCCGACTGCCAGGCTCGGGCCATGTGCCCCACAGCGTGCAGCGGGAGGGTGAGAGAAGGCAAAACGGCAGCGAGGCCTCCAGAGGGAATCGCAAACACCAGATACAACAGGCGCAGCTTCACCAGCTCTCAAACGACCGGCGCTGCGGCAGCACCACGCGCGTCTGTCAGTTCGCACAACGG